AGCACTGGGAGGTTGAGGCAGGAGGGTGGTTGCGAGTTAGAGAGCAGCGTGTGTTACGCAGTGTCCTCAAGGCCAGCCTGAGCTGCATCATGAGGCCCTATCTCAAAAAGAGACCAAAAAATGATGTTGTTTTACTAGTTTCTTTCTTGGTGGATTCATTATTTGTGTAGAATACTATTGATTTTTTGGTTTGTTGGTTGTTTTTTTTTCAGAACCGGGGACTGAACTCAGGCCCTTGCATTTGCCAGGAAGCACTTATTCCACTGAGCCATCTCCCCGGCCCTCAAATATTTTATTCAACAGAAGAAGTATCCATGGATAACACAGCTTTGTTTCTGATTTTATATTTTTGATTAATTTTATTGGTAGAATTTAGGTATGGAAAGCCAGGCCTGGTGGCCCACACCTGTAACACCAGCACTCAGGAGGCTAAGAAAGGAAGATCACTGTGAGTTCAAGGACAGCGTGAGCCACAGAGTGAGTTCAAGATCAGCCTGAGCTGTGTAATAAAACCCTGCCTCAAAAAGCCAAAACCGTTTAAATACACAAAGCGAGCACACCTCCACCACCACAGGGAATTTTTACCGCACAGAGCACATCCATGCTCCTCTGGGGCCCCCGCCCTCCCCTCCAACTTCCACAGCTTGGCCCCCACTCTCCCTTTTGCTCTCTTCTTTCTTTCCCTCCCCCACCCCGTATCTCTTCCCATTTGAACGTTTCTTCCTATTCTGCATATCTATCATGCATTTCGGTCCCGATTTCCTCATTCAGTTTCCTACACCAGAGAAATTATGTGAGATGTAAGCGTATGTATCCAATTTATTTCACTTAAGAGTGTGGTCTCAAGGTACATCCACTTGCCTAGAAATGTCTAGAGTTTTTCCTCCTTTATGACGGAGTAGTATTCCATTGAATAAAAAAATCTTCTTTATCCATTCATCCATTGATTTTATTTTTGATTTCTTCCTTTGCTATATATTTACTTTTGCTATTGTAAAAGGTGTTGTTTCCCTAATTTTTTTGTTTGTTTGTTTCCCTAATTTCTCACTTGGTGAGTTTATTATTCATGTACAGGAAGGCTATAGATTTTTTAATGTTGACTTTTTATCAGACTACACTATTGAATTTGGTTATTAAATCTAGACATCTTCATGCTGGCCCCGCCCCCAGGGCTCACTGAGATAGCAACTGAGACTGGGCCTGGTGGTATGTGCCTGTAATCCCAACACTTGGGAGGCTGAAAACAGGGGAATCATTACGAGTCCGATCTACATAGACAGACCCTATACACCCTGTAGACCCTGTCCTAAATTCATAAAAAGAAAAACACAATCTAGAAGTCTTTTGTTCAAGTTCTCAGGGTCTTCTATATAGAATATGATGTCATCTACAAATAGCGGTAATTTAACTTCTTTTCCTATCTATTCCCTTTACTTCTTCATTATAATTGCCTACGTAATGTTTCCAGAACTACGTTGAATAGGATTGGTGATAGAGGACATGTTTGTCTTGTTCCTGATTTTTGAATGAAAGCTTTCAGTTTTTGACCATTTAGTATAATGTTAGCTGTTGGTTTGTTATAAATGGCTTTTATCAGATTGAGATAAAAACCATGTATTCCAATTTTCTGTAGGGTTTTTTTTTTTATCATTGGTGACTGTTGGTCTTTGTCAAACACTTTTTCTGCA